CGAGCCGAGGTACCTACCTCGGGCTCGTCGATGAGACTGTCTACACTAGACGACATACCAGACTAATAGAAAGAAGCGAACTAGAAGGGAAAAGGGAGCTCGGGAGGACTCACCAAGGAAACGCAACCGGATTGGAAGAACAGAACGAATTGGAGGACCCGAGCTAAGAAACCCCTAGCGCGAGCTCAAACGCTAACGATGAAAGCTTTGTAGCGAAGAAAATGGCCAGGGGACCCCCTATTTATAGCCGCAACCGTGGGTTCTTCGAGGCGAAAACGATTTAGCGCGTTTTTGATGTTCGCGAAGTCCAAGTCACGTGAAAGTCCACGCGTAACCCGGACGCGACTCGAATCCCTTTTTGGTCAAGCCAGGCGCTAGACCGATACAGCTGGACGGAACGCGCGACAACGTAGCACAAAACACCGACGCCAAATCCACCCAGCGCGTCATGACCTCCCCGCGCTGGGTCACCGCCGCTAGCGCAGGGAGTGGGGGGCAATTGATGGAGGGAGATTTGGCCCGACCTCGTAGCTCAGGTACACGTAAGCGTGACCTAGCTCAAACAGTGACTCAGCATGATAGCACAACGGACGTGAGCACAACTCGGTGGGGAGGTCCCACCGAGTTCAGCACGGCAACTCGGCAGGTAAACTACTCGCCGAAAGCTGCCTCGCCCGCACCTCCTCCCTAGGGTTAAGGCACTTCGGGGGGTCTCGAGTTCGGGGCACCCTGACCCCTTTTGAGACCCGAGCTCCTCCTAATGGACCTCGGACCACTCCCAATAAAAAACGCACCAATTCTTCTTCGGACGCCCCGAGGCACAAAGACCTCGGGTCGGCTAGCTCGGCATAACCGGCTGCAGGCAGCCCGTCACTTAAGGGATGGCCCAGCTCAGAGCAATTCGTAGGAGAATGCTCGATATACCGTAGGAGGGCTTCCTGCCCGACCACCGTACCCAACAAACCTGCGAATTGCAGGCATGTCCCCTCGCCGCGCCTACCACCTTTAGAAAGGCATCCCACACCTGACAAACACGTATCCTGCACGACGGCCCCGCGCGTGCCACCTCATCCCTGCCTGTAACGGCTGTGGCAAACTGACAGTGGCGATTATACCTGCCTTGTCAGAAGTCAGAGGGCCCAGAGCAACGGAATTCAGCTATAAGGAACTTATCCTCAAGGAATAGGGCATCTGGAATAGCTAGCGCAACCTGCACTCTTAGTGTTCACTCTCTTTTAGCTTCTTGCACACAGTACTAACTTAAGCATCGGAGTGTTCCCGCCGGGAAACCCCTTGGGAGTTCTTCCTCCTTCTTCTCGTTTCAGGTACATCTCAGGAGCCACGCGAGCGCTAGATAGGAGTGACCAGATTGTGCTACATCAAAAAGTATAGTTCAAAAGTTGAAAGACAAAAGATGCCTTTCTGGCAATGTTGATGAGAAGAATCTTAGATTCAATTAAATCAGGGTTGTTGTATTAGGGGCTGTTGAAAGGATCACAGGTTACCTTTGTTAGTGTGAAAACTGAAAAGAAACTCTCTCTTATTAAAAATTGAAATTGGTTTCCCCTTTTCCTGTGAGGGAGATTATATTTGTAGACACGAAATAGAAGAACGGTAAATGGAGAAGAAAGATGCGACCACCTTCACTCCATACCAGCTTCATCACAGGTTCATAGACACCGTTCTTCATAAACTAGAATAGGAACAAGTTGCAATTCAATTGACCCTCTTAGCTCTCCTTATTTATCTCAACTACGACCAACAATCCAACAGCAACAACATCTCAGCCCTCCATGACAGCGAACCTCCTCCGGAGTTTCTTTCCCATTCTCTTGACTTCCCAGTGACCCATGAAGACCCACCTCCACCAAACATGGAAAAACAAGACCAGGTCATTGGTGAGGCTGAAGACAACAAGAAGAGAGAAGGGAATTACCAGACTTACTTGCTGTTCTTCGTCACCGGTAATGGTTAAGAATGCGATCACCACCCATAATGGCTGATACCTTGTCCGTTCCACCGGTTCTGGAACAATTAAAAAATGAAAAAGAATACATTAGTTTTCAGGGGATGTAACGGCCAAACCAAGGATTAAGAAGAAGAAGAAGAACCATGGCCAGTATCTAGACGAAGGTTGCCGCCGGTCGCCGGTTGAAAAGTAGAACCCTGACCATGGACGGGAGTGAGAGGGAGAGGGAGGATGGGGATTGCAGAGGAGAGAGAGACGTGGAGGCCCGGTCCATGTATGCGAGTTCGGTATGGGCGAGAGGAAAGCACCTCGCACGTTTTAAGGACGCGTGGCGCGTATTCATATTGCGCGAACGATGCGCGCAGAAACTCTGCCTGGACTGAAGCCGAACTCGTTATGGGCCTTATGGCCCGTGGGTTTGGGAGACGGGCTAGTGGCTACACGCTGTTCACTGTTGTGTACCCACACGAAACAAATAATAAATAAAGTTAAAAACGAAGGTTCAATTTTGCATCTCACCGTGCAAGTGAGGAAGGATGCAGTGGTACTCGGCCGCTGCTCTTCTTACCATTCTTACTAGTTCTCAGGTCAGAAACCATAATTTTGTTCTATAGCACTTCATAGAAATAGAAATATTTCCCCAGATCTGCGTTCGCATATCCTCAAGAACTTATTTCATGCGTTTGAAATTTGTGGGTCGCTCAAGAACCCTGTGAAAGATTTTTTTTTTTCAAAGGAGATGTTCTGAAACTTTATTTAGATTCAGCATTTCAATTAATATTTTCAGAATCCGCAGGGAATTGTGTGTTTGCTTGATTTGATGCTAACTGAATTAATGGATGTAGTATTGGGACTAGATTGAATAAGTCTTATCCGTGGGATTTTGGTTACAATAAACACGAATGATTGTAATTCTGTGAGTAAAATTGGCGTGCATCAAGTTCTTCTGTAACAATAGTTTTAGGAGTTTTTGCTTTTCTATTAGTTTTTAGTTAGGTCAATTGTAACACCATTAATTGTATATTATGTTAGACAGCAAAAAATGACAGTAAAAACCATCCAATTGCAGTTAACTTTGTGGTTATAGTAAGAAGCACAAATGTGAATGACAATTTACAAAAGTAATTCCTCAAAAAAGAGTTATCAGATAAAAATGAATGATTTTATTGTAGAATGCTCATTTTTCTGTCGGCATTAGTATGGGATGTTTATTCACTGCATAATTCTTTTATCAGCTGGATATTGATAATACTCAATGGATTATTAGTCACTTCATTAATTGGTGCGTAACTGTGTAGTAGGCTTCACATTTAGCAAGGAAAATCTGAGGTATTTGAGCGTGGGCATGCGCTTGTAAAAATCTTGGGTTAAGTAGGTGGGCATCTACTGGCTCCTCGTCTACCATTAACTTGGAAGTGAGTTGGATGGCCAGAAAGTAATTGTCCATCATTGGCCCTGAGGGGTCTTTGACTAGGACATTAGGGATTGTTTTTCCTTGTAATTTATCAAATGCTGTTGGTGTTAATAGTTGGAAATGATCAGGTGCTGAGTTTGTGTTCTTACAATGAAATGCCAACTTTTGGTGCATACCATTTGTTTATGTGGCAGGGAATTTTGACAACACTATCACAAAGTAATGGAGGATACAAATATGATTATGCTACAGTTCCTTTTCTCGCTGAAGTTTTTAAGGTATTTCTAATTTTATGATTCTTTATGATTATGATAAAGCAGACTCTTGTATGTGCCATGTTTCCTGAGATTAATGGGAATCCACAGTAATCTTGACAAGGAAAAGATTTGTGCATCAAGTAAAAAATTAGGAAGTAAATTTTCTGATATAAATCACTTTAGTTCTTAGATGAATTCCGGCTTTTTGTTGTCCATCTGATATCTACTATTTATTGTTAAACTGCAGCTTCTGGTATCTAGTTTTCTCCTTTGGAGAGAGTGCCAATCATCACCTCTTCCAAGGATGACTATAGAATGGAAAAGTGTGCGGCTGTTCCCCATTCCATCTATTATATACCTAATCCACAACAATGTTCAATTTGCTACTCTAACTTACATGGATACGTCTACATATCAGATAATGGGTAATCTGAAGATTGTCACAACTGGGATTTTATTCAGGTGCTGCTTGTTTCTCACACAGCTGTCTTTAGAATTTTATTTGATTGGTCTTATGCCTTTTGATTCTTCAACATTGATCAATCCAAGTATTTCTCCATTTCTAACTTTCTCATTGACATTATGGTATTAGCTAATCAGCAGATATATTTATTTATTTAACTTTCCAGGCTGTTTCTGAAGAGGAAACTATATACTCTACAGTGGATGGCAATTGTTCTATTAGCTGTTGGTACAACTACAAGCCAGGTAATAATGGGAATCTTTCTCTACATTATGGAACTTGGCTTGCATTATACTATCATTATTTGCCTGCTAATTTATTGAGGAACATTCTAGTTGGATGAGGGGATGGGGAAAAGCAACCTCTCATGTCCAAATGTTGCACTTATTCAAGGGGTGTGAAATTGAGATTCATCATTTGGTAGCCTTCCAAGGAGAAATCTTAGCCATAAATCAACCCAATGATATCAAACCATATACATGCCGCAGAATTGGTCCTTCTCTTGTTGCTGCCGAACCAAAGCACAAAGGACTTAATCTCAGGCTCAAGTGTAAAAGGCTTTTCGATGCTTACATAGAAGGCCCACTTCCAGCATGGCCAATTTACATACACAGACAGAGACATATACTTAAGTCAGCTCAGTGTCTCAGCTTTAATCCCAACTATTTGGGGTTGGCTACATGATTTCTGTCCCACCACTGTCCCAGGACCAAGTATAAAGGTGTATAATTCCTACATAGAAAGCCCAGACAGAGACACATACTTAAGTCAGCTTGGTGCCTCAGCCTTAATCTCAACTATTTGGGGTTGGCTACATGAATCCTGTCCTACCACTGTGTTCAATCTAAGGCCATGTTTCCTGTCAATTTTTAAGTCCCTCGATCATCCTTACCACTTCAATCTACATTTTCTTTGGTCTTTCCTTGCTCTTTTAGATCCTTCTACTTGTACTGAGTCATTCTTCACCAGTCACCAGTGCAGCCACTGAATGTCTGTGCACATGTCCATACGATCTCAATCAATTTTCATTCATCTTTGTCACTAATTGGTGATGCTCCTCTAATGCACTCATTTCTTGTTCTTTCCTCCCTATCTTGTAGCCTTTTCATTGATCCATCTCATCTTCCTCATCTCATCTAAGCCTTTTTTTAACATGTATCTCGACTGCCCAGCTACCTTCTGTGGGTCCTACAAAAGCCCATTTCTCAATGCTTTCTTTTGTTTAATAATCTCTTCTTAAAGCTGGTTTGGCTTGCAAGCTAGGGTTTCTTCCCCAGAGAATAGGGCTGTGATTCCTGTGAATGGGCTAGAGTTGGATGCAATCTATCTGGTTCTAAAGTCTTGCAATTATATAATTAGGTATTGCATTCAATTAACTGGATTCTGATTAGACTTGGTTAATATATGGATATTGTAACTTGTAAGTCATTAATAAAGTCAACTTAGTATTTATCAAAAAAAAAATGTCAACTTAGCATCATCTAAATGACCCCAGATCTTCCCGTAACACCCTTTGCTTAACATCATATCTGATATTCAAGACCTCTCTAGTCTCTTCTGCTCTCCAGTATCTGAGATTTTTTCATGTCTGTCACGAGTGCAATGTCATGGTCCACTATTGCATCTTGTATGCACTACTGTTCGAATGACTGTTTGTACCAGGCCAGATCATCCTTGGATCAGGCCCTTCTTTGATTTCTCTTATGAGCCTCTTTACCCATTTTGAGGGTTTTTTCCCTTGGTTATTCTCAATTTAAGTAAAGATTACATTACCAAAAACATAAATAAAATCAAATTAGAATTATTTATATGACACTTGAACTTACAGTCTCATAGAGAAGCTAGATCCTTGACATTAGAGCTTAGTATGCTAATGCATAATGGGATGGTGTGCCTACTCCCAAAGCACAAAGCCACAATCTGGCTTTAAAATTGATAGTTTGCAGATTTTGTTGTGCTTCAATATTCTTTTTCCTTAAAGTAGGGCAAATATAAATTAGCTCATAACACATCTTTGTATCTGGTGTCATGGTGTTTCTATTTAACTCCTTTAATGCATTTAATGAAATCTTTGACTAAGAAATTTGATTAATTCAAAGCATGTTCAATTGACTGGTCAGCTCCAACCCATCTGCAAATTTTCCTTAGCAAAGGAAAGATCACTGCCTGCAAACTAGTACCCTCTCCACTCTCTTTTTCTCTTCACTCCAAAAATCAACTTCGCTCCTGAAATTTCTTTAATTGTATGGATGAGCCTGACCTGATTCAAAGAGAACAAAAAAGAATATATCACCTAGCATCGGAAAAATTCTTGCAAATTCTTTAGGCATGTTTGTAGTCATAAATTGATTCTTGAATATATCCACCATCTATATAGCCATTATCATCATAGTTGGAATGCTTCTCTGTTTCATTTATGCAGATTAAAGGTTGTGGAGAGATTTCATGTGACTCACTTTTCTCAGCACCAGTCCAAGGATACATGTTGGGAATCCTCTCCGCTTGTCTTTCAGCATTAGCCGGTGTTTATACAGAATTTCTGATGAAGAAGAACAATGATAGCCTGTACTGGCAGAACATACAATTGTATACGTATGTATTCTTCTCTGCACACATTGCATATGTAGGTATCCTTTCTCAGGGCTTAGAACTAATAGTACTTCTTTTCAGGGATAACATGACCATCAAAGTAATATTTATTAATAATGTGTAAACCTCTTTATTGGAGGAAATTCAAATTTAGGGGGAAATACACAGCTCGTAGTTGGCAAAAACTAAGTACAAGCATCATAACATAAGATAAGAATCACTAGTATGCACCCCTAGGCCTGGGTCTCCCAATACAAAACCTCCTTATCAAGGCTAATGCCTTTGCTACTGTTATCTGGTGCCTAAGTTATGAAGGGCCTTTCTGAACCAGCCAAGAGTCAATCAATCACCACTAGACAATCACCTCAATGATGAAATCATTTCAACCCACAGAGAGGCAGCTTTAGACCTTGAAGCAGTGGAAGCAACTCTATTTTTAGGGAATTTACTTCACCAATAGGGCCTAATAAACTCATGACTTTCCTGATCTGTCTCTATAGACTGCTCAAGTGCTCATACTCATGAAGGCCCAAGAATGCCAAGGGACAACCATCAAAATTTAACTTGATATTTCCCAACTCCAGGGCTATCCTCTCTTGCAATACCTGCCATATTTGGTATTTCAATGTTAAATAAAAAATATAAAATGTCTCATCAAGAAAAGAAAATGTAAAATATCATCAATCACTTAGGAGCTGTTTCATAGTAGCTGAAATGACTGAACTGAAAAGGTTATTGCTTTGTCTTTTAGTGAATAAGCTTTTAAGGAGGTTGTGAGATGGCTGAAGCTGAAATTGGGTAGGGTACTATACCCTTAATGTTTTATTAATTGTTTTGTCCACTAAAGGACAAAGCAATAAGTCATTCAGTTCAGCAATTTCAGTTATTATCAAATTGCCCCTTAATAAGGAGCATTAGTTAAAAATCTCACCATCATCCAATATATAGAAAATCTTTCAACTTACAGTTTTCATGAAGTTTCTTAGAGAACATAAGATATCATTGTTGTGGGGATTCTCAAGCTAAACTAGTAGTTTTACTGTGGCATCTATAAAATATTTGCTCTCTTTGAGATATATGAAAGTATGACTAGCATGCTTTCAGTTATCAGAAGCTCTCAAGGGGGTTATATTGATTCTACCCTGATAGAGAATGCTTGTTTTTCAGTTTTGGTGCAATCTTCAACATGGCACGGCTTCTCCTTGATGATTTTAGAGGTGGATTTGAGAAGGGACCATGGTGGCAACGCCTGTTTGATGGTTACAGTGTTACAACATGGATGGTGGTATTAAATCTGGGATCATCAGGATTGCTAGTATCATGGTTAATGAAGTATGCAGACAATATAGTCAAGGTTAGTTTCCTTGTTATATATATATATATATAATGTGTGTGTATGTATTTATGCATGTAGGGAAAAGAGCATAATTACAACATCTACTTCCACAGGAAAGTTATTTATCTACTAATATTAATACAAATTAGAGAGGTCAATGTGTTACAACTCTCACATTCACACATATTTTTCTTCTTCTAATATTCTTTGTTTATATGCACTTTTCCTCTCTCACTTTTTATTTGATTTCTTGAATCTGATTTCTCCACTTGGTGTCAGAGCATTGATCAACATCTTTTTGTGCACATGGTGACCAACATCTTGGTACAGCTTGTCAACACTCTTGGCCGAATAGAGAAAAGAACAAGAATAATCTTAGAGGTGTCAAGAATGAATGACCCCCACCTCAAAGAGTCTCTTATATATTAAAAGATATGTACTATTACAAGAACGCCCATACAGGGTTGAAAGAGAAAAGAAGAATAAGATGTATAGTAATATACAACAGGGACTATACTAATAAGGTACATCAAGTTATAGAGTCTCCACACCCCCCACAAACTGATGCCTCGACATATGCATCAATTTGTCTATAAGAAAGAGATGTCAAACTCTAGTCGTAGCTTTGGTGAATATATCAGCAATCTGCATGTCCGAGGCTACATGAGGAAGCGATATAGATCCAGTAGTGAAGAGATCTTGGATAAAGTGGCACTCCACCTCGATGTGCTTGATCCTCTCATGGAAGACAGGGTTAGATGCAATCTTGATAGCACTCGTATTGTCAGCATAGAGAGGAATAGGAGTAGGAACCTAAATGCCAAGATCCATAAAGAGAGATTGTAACCAAACAATCTCATTGCAAACCGAAGACATGGCCCTATACTCTACTTCAGTGGAAGACTTGGTGATTGTTTGTTGTTTCTTACACTTCCAAGAGATGAGTGAATCACCCATAAAAACACACCACCCAGAAGTGGACCTACGAGTGTCTGGACAATCAGTCCAATCCGCATCAGCATATGCTCTCAACTGAATAGGAGAGGAGGAGAAGAACAGTCCCTGGGAAGTTGTGCTTCTAACATATCGAATAATGCGATAAACAACAGTCATATGAAGCTGACGAGGAGCAAAAACAAATTGACTAACAACCTAGATAGCATGAGAAATATCAGACCGAGTCATAATGAGATAAATGAGGGACCCCACAAGCTGGCGATATAAGGCATCATCAGGAAGTAATGGACCTTAAGATTAATAGCTTAAGATTTAGCTCCATAGGTGTATCAACTTGCTTTTCATCATTAAGACCAACAAGTTTAACAAGGTTAGAGACATACTTCTGCTAACAAACAAAATACCCTCGATCATTGCGATGTACTTCCAGTCCTAGGAAATATGTGAGAGGGCCCAAGTCCTTCATTTGAACAGAATTATGAAGTAATAGTTTCAATTCACGAATGCCTTCAGCATCATTCCCAGTCAACATGTCATCAACATATAGTAGGAGAATGGTAATACCTTGAGGTTGTCGCCTAACAAATAAAGAGTGATCAGAAGAGCTCTGGCTATATCCAACAACAACTACAACATCGCGAAAGCGTTCAAACCATGCCCGGGGAGCTTGTTTTAGACTATATAGAGATTTTTTTAGGCGACATACTAAAGAAGGATCACTGTAGTATTCAGGAGGAGGCTTCATGTAGACCGTCTCCTTCAACTGACCATGAAAAAAGGCATTCTTCACATTAAGTTGGCATATGGTCCAAGACTGAGCAACAAACACTGCTAAAAGAACACGGACTGTGGTGATCTTTGCAATAGGAGCAAAGGTTTCTTCATAGTCAATACCATATGTAGAGATGATGGGCCGAATGGCCCATAGGTTGTTTATTCTTTCTTCCTATGCCACCAGAAGTTCCAGCATTCCCTTTGGGTTTAATCCCCATATTGGCAAAGTGATCATTCATATCAGCCCCTTGAACCTGAA